TTTTATTTCTTAGTTTTCGGCAGACACAACATCTTTGTTTGTATGTGGTGCTGAGGATCGAACCCAGGCCGCACGCATGCCAGAGGGGCACGCTACCGCTTGAGCCACATCCCCAGCCCCTAGACACAGCTTTGATTTGCAGCAGTACTACTAAACAGAAAGATACCAGAAGGTTCATAACTATTTAGGTTGGGGGAAGAAGGACATCAACCCTGAAGCACTGACACATTAACTAGAACAACAGATGTTTACATTAATTTGGAACCTGCATAATAACAGCTAACATTTATTAAAGAGTTAGCACTGTTTGACAGTGATTATATCAGTATCTCACTTAATCATCACAAAACCTCACAAGGTAGGCACTGTTAAGAATTTCCCCATGTTATAGAAAAGGAAACAGAAGCTCAGAGTTGTTGAGTAATTTGACCAAGATCATATAACTAATAAGTGTCAGACTTGAGATTCAAACCCAGGCTGTCTGGCTCTGGAGTCTGTACTTGTTACCACTATGCTGGCTCCTGAAGAACTACTAAACCACATAAAGGATTAGGAGTGAACATTAGTCAGTGGCCACAAACTCAATAAAACCACTCCACAGGAATCTGTGTCTGACATTGGCTTTAATCCATATCATCTCATCTGGCCTAATAAAATCTAAATGATCTGAAATGATCACATCAACCAGGGAGAAAAGAATCCTTTCAGTACCTGAAAAAACAGAAGGTTTGTCCTTAGTGTCTAATTTCTGGTACCAGCTAGATGAGTCTTTTTGCTCTGGAGCAAGAAGCTGTGACTGAGCTGGAAAGATAAGGGTCATTGTCAGAAACTGGAGAGCCAGGCTCTGAATGAAATTTATCATAAGCAAAAGCAATTCACTCAACACTCCTCAAATGCAAGGGCCAGCACAATTTCTTAAAGTAATAGAAGAGACTAAGGAAACAAGGGCAGCTCTAAGGTCATCTGGGGGCAGAAGGAAGATTGCATTGTGTGGTAAACTGCATGACATACACTGAAGGTTCTAGAAATTGGCTCAGTGCCCTTATAGCTAAATAGACAAGTTCCCTAACTTATTCCTGGGTTCATTCCTGAAGAAAACAATTAACTATAAAGGCTCAAGGGTGAGGCACTTTGCTAAAGGCCACTTGCCTCTGAACCAACATGTCAGTATTTCACTCCCATTAAAATAATAGAAAGAAAATTACTGAGTCTTGTGTTACCTTCCTGAGCAGCAAGGACCTCTGAGAGAAACTTTAAACAATGTTCCTCATCAGGGATTTCAAAGCGGCGCTCTCTGGTCCAGTCCCCCTGAACCCGAATTTTGCAGCCACCTAAAAAGAATTGAAATCCAAACACATACAGTCATAGGATACAATACTGTGTTGAGATCATATTCTCAACTTACCAGGTTATCAGAAAGTCCAGATCAAAAGATTCCAGACCTCTAACATAGGAAGCACATATACAAGGGATTTGGTGTGGTGGTGGGGGATGAATCAAGAAGGGAAGCCTAAGGGAAGAAGACAGTACTCTCAGGGATGACAACTGTGTTAAAGATCAGCCAGGGAAAAAAAAAAAAAAAAAAGATCAGCCAGATCTAGAGATAGAAGCACTAAAACCTGATCTCTCTCTCAGATGACAATGCAGAAATGTCCAAATTCTAGGAAAAGATAAATTCCTCAATCACTCTCCTCTTATTCACAAGAGAAAATTCCTACCATTTCAAATGCAGATAATAGAGTAAGAGTATCTGAAGCATGAAGAGGATAAAGGAAATAGAATGGATGTTTATAGGTTCAGGGTAAATTAAATTTATGAACTTATTAAAAATAGTGGAATTGGCCTGAAGTATGTGGAAAAGAAGCATCTACATCTCATTCTCAACTGAAAAATGTACGCTTTGCATGAACTTACAAAAGCAATATAATGATCTATGTCCAGGAAAGGTTTGGTCCAAATATAGCCAACTAGACACAAATTTACTTTGGGCTTTAATGTTTTATGGGTATAACATCTTCCTTTTTCTGATGACCCATGGTTATTATTTAAGTTAACTATTTGGATATAATGAGTCAGGAAAACTATATACTTACTGGTTTACATTCTTTTTTTTTTTTTTTTTTTGGTACTGGGTATTGAACTCAGGGGCATTCAACCACTGAGTCACATCCCCAGCCCTATTTTGTACTTTATTTAGAGAAAAGGGTCTCACTGAAGTGCTTAGGGCCTCAGTAAATTGCTGAGGCTGGCTTTGATCTCTCCATCTTCCTGCCTCAGACTCTGGAGCCACTAGGATTACTGGAGTGAGCTACCACGCCCTGCTACATTCTTATTCTAACAAATTGACTAGGTATGCTGATTCCTGCCCCTCCTTCCCCCCCCCAAACTATGAGCTCCTTAAGGACAAAGGGCAGGCTGCATATACAGGTTACCCAATACTTTCCATGGTCTACTGTGACCAACTGTCTCAGGATTGTCTGGGACTAAGCAACATCCTACAATTCAACATTTCAAGGTTAAAACTGAGAAAACCCCAGGCAAACTATTCTGCTGGTGACAGTGATGTCAGATTTCATAGACAAAAGGCATTTAATAAATAAATAAGTATTGAACTGGACTCTTCCACACTTGTAAATTGCAAAGGAAATGAAATGAAAAGAAAATCCTAGTTTTTTTTTTTTTTTTTTTGTGTGTGTGTGTGTGTGTGTTTTGGAAATTCACTTCTGAACCTTTGGTTCTCTTTTGTCCTCTAATTTTTTTTGTTGTTGTTTCTATTTTCATATAATGTGTTTTTAAAAGGAAAATTAAATTACTGATCAGAAGAAGAAAAAAAAAAGGAAAAAATCAAGAAAAATGTGAAAGAAGGCATCCAAATGGACCAGACAGAGACAAGAAAATTAATGAGGGTGCCTGTAAGGAGGAAAACAAAGGAAGGAGAATGAATAGAGTGTCAATTAGGAGCAGCCTTGAAGATACAGAGGAAAACTCCTTTAGGGCATACTAAGTCCTCCCTTTCTCAGATAATTTTTTATTCAAAATAGTTTATTTTTTATTTTTTATTTTATTTTTATTTTTTTTTAAAGAGAGAGTGAGAGAGAGAGGGAGACAGAGAGAGAATTTTAATATTTATTTTTTCTTAGTTCTCGGCGGACACAACATCTTCGTTTGTATGTGGTGCTGAGGATCAAACCCGGGCCGCACGCACACTAGGCGAGCGCGCTACCGCTTGAGCCACATCCCCAGCCCCAAAAATAAATTAATTTTTATGTGATGCTGGGGATCAAACCCAGGACCTCGCATGTGCTAGGCGAGTGCTCTACCGCTGAGCCACAACGTCAGCTCAAAATAGTTTAAAAGGAGCAGCTTCTACCAGATAGAAATTTAGAACAAGAAAACACATTTTCTTTCTCCCACAAATCTTGAAAGATGTATTTTAGAAAATATAAAACTGACCTACTTAATAGCCAGAAATTGCTTATAAAATATCACTGGATACTCTCTCACCATGTTTCTTGGAAAAGAGCACAAATTATCCCATAACCTGGCCTTTACTCTCTTCCCTTTCCAAAGCTCTTCAGGCCCTCTGTGAACAGCAAACAACCCTATTATATCTTCAATTTCATCTAAACATTCCCTGTACCTGTCAATCATGGATGTATTACAATAATCAGAGGCATTTTAGAAAATATTGACACCTGGACCTCACCCCACACAATTAAAACAATCTCTGGTCATAAATCCCAGGCACTGGCAGTTTTTAAAAACACTCCCCAGGTGATTCTACTGTGTATCCAGATTGAAAATCAGAGTCAACTGCAAACTGTGGTTCTCTTAGGGGAGGCTGTTTATATTCTTTCACACCTGATGGAACGAACACAAACACACACAGATTATAGGCACGTATCACCTTGTTGGGCTTACACTGGCTGGAATTTAAAGTTGGTGTCCTTATTTGTTGCAATACCACCTCCAAACCATTTCATCTTCTCCTTCCTCAGGAAAAACCCTTTCTCCTTTGGTGCTTACCCATTGGATTGAATCATCTTCTTGCCTTTCCTCCTCTATAAGACTATCCACCACCTCTTAAAAACCTCGGAATCTAGAATTTAATACTCAATATGTAAGATCTTTTCCTTTCTCAGACTCCTGCCATTATTTTGGGTCTCTTTAAAATTACCACAAAAACCCTGTGGACACTTTCAACTTCTTCATCCAATGGCCTTCCCTCTCTACCTCAGCCACCACTCCCTCAGTCCCTACTGGGACTCCATCAGTTATACCCTGGATTTTTTTTAATCATAGAAACATCACCATTTCATAAATCTCTAATTCAAATATCCCATGCCAGCTGGACTTGGTGGTGCATGCCTATAATCCCAGAGATTTGGGAGGCTAAGACAGGAGGATTGCAAGTTTGAGGCCAGCCTCAGCAACCTAGTGAGGATTTAAGCAACTCAGTGAGAGCTTGTCTCAAAATAATAACAACAACAACAACAATAATAATGAGCTGGGGATGCAGCTCAGTGGCAAAGCATCCCTGGGTTCATCTGGATTTATTCCCCAGTACCACCACCCCCCGCCCCCCCCCAAAAAAAACAACCCACAATGACAAATATCCTAAGCCGACCTCTTAATCCTTCTGGTTTACTTGCTCATTATCCCCATCCCCACTGTAATTGTTCTTTACCCTCATGGGAACCTCCAGCCCATTGATTCTTCCACTTTCTCACTGTCCAAAAACCCACAATTGCCTTACCCATGGTCACCCAAGGCACCACCTGACCAAATTCCAACTCTCAGAAACCCAACTAATTGCCTTCTCTATTCTTATAACTGAGCAACCACAGATAGTAAACACAAATGTGTATAAACTCACACGCTATCATTATAAATTCTTAATTGCCAACCTTAACGAGGCCCTCTATCCTAGGAGGCAATCTGTTTCCACAGTCACTAGTCTTCCACTACTACCTGGAATAATTATTTCACCTTCTCATTTATCTTCTCTTCTCATGCCCTCTCATTCTAAGCAGATTGTTTCACCTCATTTTTCAGAAAAAAGAAGCCATCACCTGGAAAACTATATATTGTACTCCTTTCCTTTCTGACAAGAAAGAAACTTCTTCCTACCAAGACCACCTTTGTTTGGAATTCCAGTATGGGGATAGAACCAGTACTAAGCAAACAGTGTACCACTAAGTTACATCCTCAGCCCTCTCATTTCTTTTTGTTGGTACCGGGGATTAAATCCAGGGTCACTTAACCATCGAGTCACATTCCCAGTCCTTTCCTGTATTCAGTTTAGAGACAGGATCCCACAGAGTTGTTTAGGACCTCACCAAGTTGCTGAGGCTGGCTTTGAACTCGAGATCCTCCTGCCTCAGCCTCCTGAGCCACTGGGATTACAGGCATGCACCATGGTACCCAGCCATCGCATGATTTTGAATATTATCTATGTGCTAGTGGCTCAAATCTTTCTTCTGAGCTTCAGATGCATACATTTAGCTGCCAGTTTATCATCTACAGTCAACTGTCTCAACTAAACCCAGCTAAATCTGAATTCATGACACTCTCTCAAAGGAAAACTCATTCTTTCTGGAACCTGTTTATGCAAATGATGGGTACCATCATCCACATTCATGCCAGAAACCTGGAATTCATCTTTGACATTTCTCTTCCTGTCACTCCTATGCCCAAACCAATTTCTATTGATTTTACCTCCATATACATCTATCAGCTCTATTTCTCTCCATATCTATTGCCACTATACTTCCACTTTATACTACTGAAAAAGTCTCCCAACTAGCTTGTCTTTCTGTTTCTATGAAAATTATGACACCTCAGCATAAAATCCGTCACTTTCTTATCATTTCTTTCTTTCTTTTTTTTTTTTGGGGGGGGTACTGAGGATTGATCCCATGGGCACTTAACCACTGAGCCACATCCCCATTCCTTTTTGTATTTTATTTAGAAACAGGGTCATGCTAAGTTGCTGAGGGCCTCACTAAGTTGCTGAGGCTGGCTTTGAACTCATGATCCTCTGCCTCAGCCTCTCAAGCTGCTGGGATTTTTTTAATTAAAAAAAGGGGTCTTAGAACCAGAGAAGTGGGGCTGGGGTTGTGGCTCAGCGGTAGCGTGCTCGCCTAGCACATGCAAGGCCCTGGGTTTGATCCTCAGCACCACATAAAAATAAAATAAAGATACTGTGTCCATCTACAACTAAAAAATAAAATATTAAAAAAAAGAACCAGAGAAGTGAAATATTGTGCTCCATTTGGGTACAATGAATTGAAGAGCATTCTGCTGTCATGTATAACAGATTAGAACAAATTTTTTAAAAAGAAGATATAGGGAGAGCAGATTAGCATGTTATATACTCATCATCATTTATCATTAGGAAAATGAAAATTAAAACAACAATTAAATACTACTGCAAAATTAGAAGAGAGAGCTAAATGTCAAAAAATCCAACTATTATTAATGCTGGTAAATATTCAGAGTAAAGGGGCTGGGGTTGTGGCTCAGCAGTAGCGTGCTCGCCTAGCACATGTGAGGCCCTGGGTTCCATCCTCAGCACCACATAAAAATAAAATAAAGATATTGTGTCCAACTACAATTAAAAAATAAATATTAAAAAAATTTTAAAAATTCAGAGTAAATAGAATTCTTAGAAATCAATGTGGGATTCAATATGGTGCAACTTCTTTGGAAAAACAGTTCCAAGAGTTTCTTATAAAGTTATCTCCATGTAAGTATTTACCTAACTAAATGAAAACAAGTGTTCACACACAAAAAAAAATTTTGAGAAGGAGTCTTGCTAAGTTACTGAGGTTGGTCTCAAACTTGCAATCCTCCTGTCTTGACCTCCCAAGTTGCTGTCTTCTCATTTCTTAAAACCTAAAAATGCTGATTCAACAGTATGGCTTATAAGATTCAGCTGCATCTGGCTCTAGCCTGTTTTGCCTTGGTGCTGAAGCCTAGGCATACTGGTCATCTTTTACTTCAAATAAACTGTGAATCTACTTCCCACCTTGGTTTACCTGGAATACTTTTTTCTCTCCTGTATGCATTTGTCTGTTATTGGCCCCCCTGCTCTCACTTTAAATGTCTTCTTCAAAGAGTCCTTCCCTAGCTACCCTTCCTAATCTAGTTATCCCTCTTACATACTCTTTATACCTTTTTTTAACAGTATTTATCAAAACTGCAATCTTGTTAATGTCTGTACCTTATCAGTTTAAAGTCTGTTTCCTGTATTAAATCCACAATTTATCAAGATTTTCTTGTTTTCTGCTAAATCACTAGAGCTAGTACAGTGCCTGGCCATAAAATGTATTCATACTTTTATGGAAGGGATTAATGAATTATAGGCATCTATGTGGCTGTCATACCAAATATCACACAAGAACCACCAAAGCAGAAGAACTAACCTTATCTATATTGTGCTCTGATGATTCTGAAGCTCTTACAACCATGCCTGGCAAATAGAAGGTACTCAACAATATTTGTTAAATAATAAATTAGGAAGGGTAATACTAATAATTAGTAGAGTAGCCAGGCAAAGTGTTGGACACTTGTAATCCCAGCTACTCAGGAGGTTGAGACAGGAGGATCACAAGTTTAAGGCCAGCCAGAGCAATTTAATGAGACAATCTCTCAAAATAAAATAAAAAGAACTGTGGGTATAGCACAGTGGTAGAGTCCCCTAGGTTCAATCCCCAGGATGGCAAACAAACACACAAACAAAAAACATTGTTAGTACAATACAGTCCATTAATAGGTAAGAAAAACAAGGAAAATATAACCATCTCCATAAAATAATGAAAACAAATTTAATAAAATTCAGTATACTTACATGATTTTTAAAGAACACACAATATGACCAAGAAGGAGCCATGTCTTTGAGTCTAACTTTTGTGGGAACTTTGCTCCAAATTGCAAAGCTAGCCCCTCCAATAAAAATATGGGAAATTTATTTTTCCTCTGGATAAAGTCAGTCAAATAATGCAGATAGTCACTCAAACTACCAGGTAAAATTAGCATGAACTGTGTGTCATATGTGATACCATCAAGTTCTCTTTCTTGAAAATTAGTTATTGTTTATCTTGCAAATATGTGCATCATGGGTTGTATCTGTTTGGATATAAAAATGAGTGAGATTTATTTCTGTGTTTGTAGTTTCTTAGCTAATCCTCTGTAATGTGCATCACATTCTGTTTTAATGCTTATTCAATAATAAAAGTTATTTTCTCTAACAAAAAATAAAGAACACACAAACTTGAAATAAATGGAATTTCTTAATATAGGCTTTGTTTAAAAAAAAAAAAAAAAACAACAACTGCCAAATCAACAGGCAAAAATGTCCCTAACTGTGAAGCACCACCGAAGCAATTCTCATGGAATTTGGGGTGTATTTATAAGGATTTAATACTGGTCCCCTAAAATGCCACTGATGTATTGAGACATGAACCAAAACTCAGTTATAGCTAATAGAAAGGAGACTTAATTATAATTTACAGATGATTAAGGCTATTTACCAAAATGAAAAAAAAAAAAAAAACCACCAAGTGTAGTAAAAATACAGTTGTTTTGGTTTAGATATGAGTTGTCCCCCAAAAGCTCACGTGTGGGCCTATGCAAGAAAGCTTAGAGGTAAAATGATGCCTTATGGACTTAACCTAATCGGTGCATTAATCCCTTGATAGGGATCAACTGGGTGGCAACTGTAGGCATGTAGGTTGCAGATGAAGGTGGGTCACTGGGGTGTGCCTTTTATATGTGATGAGTGGATGCCTTTTTCTCTCTCTCTCTCTGCTTCCTGATAATGTCCTGAACTTCTTTGTTTTGCCATGCCTTCTGCCATGATGTTCTGCCTCACCTCTGGCCTAGAGAATGGAGTTGTCCATCTATAGACTGAGATCTCTGAAACAGTGAGCACAAATAAACTTTTCCTCCTCTATAATTGTTCTTGTCAGATCTTTTGGTTACAGATGTGAAAAAACTGACTAAATCAACAGTGAAATGGACAGATAAAAGCTAAGTATCTACAACTCATTACTTGTTCTGTACACTAATAACACACAACTGGAAGAAAACAGAAAAAAATTGATTCATAAAAGCAGCAAACAAAATCTACCATAAAAATTTAACCTAAAAATGTGATATTGAAGAAACTACAAAATTCTACTGAAAAATATAAAACAGGACCAAATAGAGAGATGTACCATGTTTCCTGACAGTAACTTTATTTTATAAATATGTTAATTTAATAACATCTTTATAAATACATATATTTGACATATATATGGTGAAATTCTGGTCATTAAAATGATGTCTTAAAATAAGCTTAAATGACATGGGAAGTGTCACAATATAATATTCAATTAAAATGCAAGATAAAAATTGTATGTAAAATGCTGGGGGTATAGCTTAGTAGTAGAGCATATACTTAGTATGCAAAAAGCCCTGGGTTCAGTTCCCATCGTGAAAAAACCCTCACAAAACAACAAAAAAAACTATATTCAAGGATTCCAATTATGCAAAAATATAAATAAAATACCAGAATAAAATATATAAAAAACGTTAACTACAATGATTATCTCTAGATTGCAGGCAATAATTTTAATTTGATACTTTAAACTTTTCTGATTTTATAAATTATACATAATGAAGATACATTAACTCTATAATCAGAAAAAACTTGTAAAGTTTCTAATGTGTGCAAGTATGAATACATAACAAATCCTACCATTACGTGTAATTATAATGCACCAATAAAAATATGGAAAAAGGTGTTTAATTCCAATAACCAGACAATGGGGAAATTCATATTTACACTAAAATCAAACCTATCTGATAAACTCAGGGTCCTCCTTCTATAATACACTGAATGCTCTAAGCGTTTATGTATGAAGCCCATTACTAAATAGGAAGAGATACCAAAAGACTTTATAATTAGTCACTTAATTATATTACTGCTATGATCCAGTAACTTGAACTCTACACAGAAATGAATGACCAATTTCTATGTAGAAGAAGTTACAACAAAACCAATGCCATAAATTCAGTATTTATAAGAGAAAAGGTACAGCTCATTTTAATGTCTCAGTTTGGGATCAAATACCTTTCTACATCAAGAACAGGATATTTTAATATCTTATTTCAACAGCAATATCAGTCCCTGTATAAATGCCTTTCCTCTGAATTTTCGATTTTTTATTCTTAGTTTTGTCTTCTCCTGCCTAAGAACAATAAAACACAGATATTGAGTTTTCTTTTTAAATCCTGTGACAAAAGCCAGCAGCTGGGTTTACTTAGAATTTCAGGATCAGTCTTTAAGATTTCCAAAATCCATGATTAAAGGAAAGAATAATAAAACCCAAACTAGAAAAAGCCTACCTAAATCATTCAGTACAAATTAATAGTGCCCAGGGGAGTAACTGCATCTAAACAAAATTATGTATAACCTGTAGCCCTAAGCTAAGTGCCAAGTCCCACTCATCCAAGGACTCAACCAAGAGATAAGACAACCATTTGATTTAGATTCATGTGGTCAGATATTCTTTTTCCATAGCAACCACACAGCAGTCACAGTAGCAGTCAAGTGCTCATTTTCTCCTCTCCATAACACAGTACAATTAGATGATAAACAAAGAACAGCTTGCACAGAAAGTCGATGATGACTTGCTTCAAACAGATAAAAAGGAGAGAACAGAAACAGTGGAAAGGAAGACCATGTTCCCTCTGATAAAGGGATGCCTTGAGGGGCTGAGGCTTAAATAAAAGACCAAAATTATTTTAAGAAATAAAAAGAATGCCTAGAGAAGCAATTGAAGGGATTCTGTAGCCTCCCAAAATAATATAACAGATAAATGAAAACACTATCATTTAACGTAAAAAATAACGAGAGCAGGAGAAAACCTTAAAACATAAAGCAGTTTAAGTAACCAAAAAACATCCATAAACCTTAAGTGCTTTAAAAAATATTTTACTAGCCCTTCCTACAATTATCAGTTTCCACAGCAATGATTAAACTAACAGCAATAATACTGGTAGCTCAAAGAAGTTCAGCATTAGAAAAGCAAACCATACTTTCAATTTCTGTAAAGATTCTTATCAGTCACATGCTTTTCTTCAGACTCAGCCTAAATGTTTGTGGAAGACAATTGCTAATTGTTATGGTTGTCTTAAGAAAATGTAAACTACAGGATAAGATGGTAAAATAAAAAATGTACCCAAAAAAGATATCTTAAATACAGTGAGCATTCAAATAAATATTTATTGAATGAAAGTCAACTTCATTCAGAAAGATACTCACTGTTTGAAGCGATGTCAATCAAAAGAGTTTCTTCTGCTTCTGAGAGGGGGAAAAAAGAACAGGATAAGGGAAGATAAAATCATTCATCACAATCAAAGGAAGTATATGCCTAACTAAATAACTGCTTCTCTCAGTCACTACTCCTCAGTTTTAGAACACATTAAAAATTCCTTTTTTGTTGAGCATTTTTTTTCAAAAAGAATATTAGTAGCACTAGGTTCTAACGACTTGAGCAATTTAACTAAGAGAAAAATGAAATGAATAAGTACTAAATGAAGCTCCTCAAAGCAAATTAAGAGTGACAAATTAATAATAGGGAATATAACACAATGTTAATTCAAATGAAGACAAGTTTAATTCCCCTCAACTATAACATACTGATTTAATATAATGTGTGTCCTTTAGATACTTATTATAAAAAGCCAAGGAGTGACCGACCCTGCAGGCCTCAAGCTGAATTATTTTCTCAACTCAGATACAGTCTTTGAAAATTTCCCAGTGATTTCATTACTTCTGCTCCCACCCTATATAAAAGTAGAGTAGCAGAGAATATCTAAAGTTCACACTTGTGGCTCCAATGCCTACCACGCCTAACAAGAAGTATAAAACACTTGCATTCCTATGTTTATTGAGTACTATTCACAATAGCCAAGGTATGGAATCAACTGAGGTATCCATGGAGTGAAGAATGGATAAAGGAAATGTAGTATATATACACAATGTAATATTTTTCAGCCATAAAATATATGAAATTCTCTCATTCATGGCAATATGAATGAAATCAGAAGGCATTTTGTTAAATAAAACAGGCACAGAAGTACAAATACTGAATGTTCTCATTTATATGTGGAAGCCAAAAAAGTTGATCTCCTATAAATGTGGAGTAGAATAGTGGTCATGAGAAGCTAGAAAGGATAGGGAGAGGAGGGATAGAGAGGCTGGATAACAGGTCCTAAAGTACAGTAAGAAAGAAAGAGTAAGTTCTAGTGCTCTATGACTACATAATGTAACAATTTATTATAACTAGAAGAGAGGAGTTGGAAGGTTTCTAACACAAGGAAATACTAATTACTGATTTGATTATTACTCATTGTATACGTGTGTCAAATTGTCACACAGTATCCCATAAATATATACAATTATTATGTGTCAATGAAGAAAAAAACTAGCACAAAGCAGTTTGAAATTTCAGAGTTCTCTTTGCTCTCAAATGCTTTCCTTGCCTCTAGTGTCTACATACAACTTATTACTTCCTCTTTGACTTCTCTGGATTTGACCAACAGTCCCTACCAGAATCTCCTAGCTAATTGAACCTTGGGTACTAGCTCCTTGGGATTAGCCTGGTTCTCTGCTGATAAGATGGAGTAGCCTCAGACTTTTCTAGCTTCTTCACAAGACTCAATTTATATTTAGCTTCATTGTTCAGGTACAATAGAAGTAACTGTGAAAGAGCCAAGTTGTTTAGTATTACGATGAAGTTTCAACACTATTACTACAATGATGAAGCAAATTGGACATCAGGACATAGGTATTACATGTTCATGGCTATTCTTTGGTAACTTTTAGTTCTGTAAAACCTGAGCATTTACAGCTTTCCAAATAGATAGGAAGTAAAAACTTAAGAACAAAACATTTTTTCCATGGGGAACTATGGTGTATGCTTGCTCATATTTTCCAGATCCCAAGAAGCATCACTACAATCTGGCCGTCTGCTTCTTATTAAAAACAATACTAAGAGAAACAGGCTAAACGAGTTCCTAGAAGCAGTAAAAAAGGTAAAAAACAAATAGGATACATTGTGAAGTCAAGTTCTTTTACTTTTCTGTGCAGAGATACAACTTGAAAAGTGAGGCAACCACAGCAACTTACTATGGTATGCAGGTACCTTGCTTAATATGTCTCACTCACACAGGGCAGGCTCAATAGCTATGACTTCACTCTTCTAGACAATGTAGAAACTATTAAAGGAATTTTTAATTCTTAATACTGTCTTTTCTTTTCAAAATACCATCTTAAAAGTCACACCTGCTATTATCACTATTTGCTGACAACATGATTCTATATTTAGAAGACTCAAAAAATTCCACTAGAAAACTTGTAGAATAAGTGAATTCAGAGGCTGGGGTTGTGGCTCAGTGGTAGAGCACTTGCCTAGGATGTGCAAGGTGCTGGGTTTGATCCTCAGCACCACATAAAAATGAATAAATAAAATTAAAATATTGTGTCCAACTACAAATAAAAATATTTTTAAAATTAATTCAGCAAAGTAGCAGGATATAAAATTAACAAGCCATAAATCAAATGTGTTCCACTGAAAGAGAAACTAGGAAAATGACCCCATTCACAATAGCCTCAAAAAAAAATATTTGGGAATCAACCTAAGAAAAGAGGTGAAAGACCTCTACAATGAAAACTACAGAACCCTAAAGAAAAAAATTGAAGACCTTAGAAGATGAAAAGATTTCTCATGCTCTCAGATAGGCAGAATTAACATTATCAAAATGGCCATACTACCAAAAGTGTTATACAGATTTAATACAATTCCTATTAAAAAAACCCCAATGACATTCTTCATAGAAACAGAAAAAGTAATCATGAAATTCATTTGGAAAAATAAGAGACCCAGAATAACCACAGCAATCCTTAGCAAAAAAAAAGTAAAGCACAAGGCATCACAATACCAGACCTTAAATTACACTACAGAGCTATAGTAACAAAACAGCATTGTACTGACATCAAAACAGACATGTAGACTAATGGTGCAGAATAGAAGCACAGAGACAAACTCACATGAATAACAGTTATCTCATACTAGACAAAGGCACTGCTGGGAAAACTGGAAATCCATACGTAACAAAATGAAATTAAACCCCTATCTTTCACACTACACAAATCTCAACTCAAAGTGGATCAAAGACTTAGGCACTAGAACAGAGACCCTGCACCTAACAGAAGGAAAAAGTAGGTCCAAATCTCCAAGATGTCAGCTTAGGAACTGACTCCCTTAACAAGACTCCTAAAGTGCAAGAAGTAAAATCAAGACTCAATAAACGGGATGGAATTAAACTAAAAATCTTTTTCACAGCAAAGGAAATAATCAAAAACATGAAAAGAAAACCTACAGAATGGGAGAAAATCTTTACCAAATGCATCTCAGATAGATATTAATCTCCAGGATACATAAAGAACTCAAAAATCGTAACACCATAAAACAAATAAATGTGCTAAGGAACTGAACGCACTTCACAGAAGATGATATACAATCGATCAAGAAATATATGAAAAAATGTTTAACATCTCTTGCAATTAGAGGAATGGCAATCAAAACTACACTGAGATTTCATCTCTCTCCAGCCAGAATGGCAGCTATTAAGAATACAAACATCAATAAGTGTTGGCAAGGATGTGGGGAAAAGGGCATGCTCTTACATTGCTGGTGGGACTGCAAATTGGTGCAACCAATCTGGAAAGCAGTATGGAGATTCCTTGGAAAATTGGGAATGGAACCACCATTTGACCCAGTTATCCCACTCCTCGGTTTATACCCAAAGGACTTAAAAAAACAGCATACTATAGGGACACAGCCACATCAATGTTTATAGCAGCACAATTCGCAATAGCTAAATTGTGGAACCAACCTAGATACCCTTCAGTAGATGAATGGATAAAGAAAATGTGGTATGTATACACAATGGAATATTAATCAGCCTTAAAGAAGAATGAAACTATGGCATTTGCTGGTGAATGGATGGAGCTGGAGGATATCATGCTACAGGAAATAAGCCAATCCAAATAGTCAAAGTTAGAATGTTTTCTAATATGCAGATGCTAATTCACAATAAGGGGAGGGCTAGGTAAGAATAGAGATACTTGAGAGTAGACAGAGGGGAGTGAAGGGAAGGGGTATGTGGGTAGGAAGGATAGTAGAATGAATAGGACATTATTACCCTATGTGCATATATGATTACACAACCAGTATAATTCTACATCATGTACAACCAGAAGAATGAGAAGTTATACTCCACTTATGTATGATGTGTAAACATGCATTCTGTCATGTATGACTAATTAGACCAAATTAAAAAAATAATAATTTTAAAAGTCACACCTGCTATTTTCTGTTAGAAGAATAAATCTTTTCTTTAAAAAAAGAGAGAGTGAGAGAGTTTTTTTTAATAATTATTTTTTAGATTTCGGTGGATACAACATCTTTGTTTGTATGTGGTGCTGAGGATCGAACCCGGGCCGCATGCATGCCAGGCGAGCGCGCTACCTCTTGAGCCACATCCCCAGCCCAGAAGAATAAATCTTGAGAAAATAAGGTGTGCATGAAAATTTATATAAAAAGATTTTCATCACATTACCATATATATTAGTGAAAAATAATCCAAATGTCAATCACAGGAGATTAATTACATTTTTAAAAACAATAGTATATAGCCATTAATAGCATGGAAAGCACTCATAATAATAATTGCACATGAACAGACAAAAATATTTAAAAGATAAGTCCCACTTACCCTGAAGGTTATATGTGTAAAAAAAGGAAAATACTAGGCATTTGTCTCAAGGATGGAAATTTATGTGACTCATTTTCTTTATGTTGTTCTGTTCTTTCCAAACTTCAGAGAGTGTGTGTTTGTGTGTGTACCATATATATTATATTTAAACAGTATATGTGTATATATCTATGTATATACCCATATATTACTGTTTTGATTTTTAAAAAGTCAATATAAAGAATCTATGCAAGGTAGGATTAAAGCTTTCCAAGAAGCTACAATTGATACAGAATACTTCTGCCTGATAAAACCACTGGACATGATGGAAACATAATGCATTTCTTCTCAAGTAATCAATTCCCTTTCTAAAGCAACGTGAGATGACAGAAGCAACACATCCTACACAAATCTCCCAATTTTGGAGTTTCATTATAATAGATGAAACAACAGATTTTCTGTGCTCAGTCCCCATATTTGAGGGCGGAAAGCCAAATACTTCTTCTCCAGAGTTGATTTTCTTCTGATTTACCAACGTTAAGTTTTGGGAATCAGCATAGGAGTGTAAGGTATTACAGTTTGGCAAGGCATATTGCCAAATGTCTTAATTTCAAATTGGGAACAAAGTACTGAATATTTGTGACTCCAAATGACCTTGATACTTTATAATGAGCTGAGTGTTCATTAAGCCAAGTATTTCATTTTAAATCTACATATAGGTCAGTAAACACAAAAGACTACCTACACAGGTAATAGACAACATACATTTCTAATCCCAGCTAGGGAAACAGGTGTAGGTATCTATACATGTTTCAATATTAACCCTTCAGCACTCTTAAACAAATCACTTATCTTCTCAGTGGTAAATTAGTAAGGTAAACTTGTTATGCAATGAGTAATATATTTCATTTTACTTGCAGTGACAAATTTAAATTTGTATGGCATATACAATGTAATAATAATGAAGGAAAAACATAAAACTAGCTAAGCAATTAAAGCTAGTACCTTGAACACATCTGAAGTGGCTATTTATAGGAATGATATCTTGGACATGCTGTTCCTTCTCATGCAACTGGATTATTAACCTAGGAAACAGAAAAATGCATCAATGAATAGCTACTGAAAAATCCAAATGTTTAACAACAAAATATTGTTTGGACTTGGTATACAAATCTAATCTGCATTTATTAGATTTTCCGCATCTAGTTCCCTGGATCTGAGCAACATAACAGCTAGATACTTCTCTGGGGTTAAAGGATGTTATGGTGATCAATATCTAAACACCCATAGAGTCCTATATGCCATAAAGAACATATAATATTCTATGTCCTAAAAATGGTGCACAGTCTTAAGAGCATGAAGTACAAAGTATATACCTTCAGAGTGTGCATACCAGTGAAGAATGGATAGCTAGATGTAAACTACACAATGGTGGTGGCTACAGCTGTCTTTTCATCACAGTATTTCTAGCATCTAACACAGAGTCTGGCACATTAAAGACACTTACATGTGTTAAATTAATAAATTTCAAAAGTGGTACATTAGCTTTCAAATTTCATCCCTATGTTTTTTTTTTATACCAAAGAATGGTTCTCTCTTCAAACAAACATGCAGGTTCACAGAGGAATATGAAGGGGTACCCAAGCAGCTGGATCAGTCAAAATAACTCCAGTGACCAACATACCAGATGTCAAAACCAGATTGCCTTCACATCCCCAGTGTTTCTACTCTGGTTTCCAGTTTCATGCTGGTATTTCTATGTAAACATGATTGAACTTGGCTCCCCAGGTGAAATGAAAAACTTCTAAGTCCACCTGTATTCCTAAAATACTAATTTTCACTTATTACTTATCATTAGTGGCCAAGAATAAAGGTATAAACTACTGAGTAAATAGCCATTCTGAATTTTAACTAGCTTCTCCAAAGTCAAGCACTCTTCAGGCATTCTTTTTACCTGGAACACTCTTTTTTTTTCCTGAGACCCAGCTCAAATATCACCTCCTCTGTGAAGATTTGACAAGCACAAGTAGAATAAGTGGCCTTATCCACTTTTCTTGCCCTTTTTTGTGCTAGGGATTGAACCCAGGGGCACTTAACCACTGAGCTACATCCTCAGCCCTTTTTATGTTTTATTTTGAGACATGGTCTCAATAAGTTGCTTAGCCTTGCTAAAGTTGCTGAGGCTGGTCTTGAACTTGTGATCCTCCTGCCTTAACCTCCCTAGCGGCTGGGATTATCTGTATGTGCCACCATGCCCAACTTACTTGCCCTTCTAATTGAGCACTTACTCAAAGATTTGAGCTCCTCGAAAGCAAGGAACCTATCATATTTTATTTTGTTTGCAGCCTAACAGATGCTCAATAAATACTGGCTGAGTAAGTGAACTAGTTTAATTAAGATATAAACAGAGGCGAATTTCTAAATATAACTCTTCAACTTCCAACATTAAAAATGTCATTGTTTTGAAGGCCTTATTTTCTATTTATTTGACTTTATGAGGGATTTATTCTTGTTTGGGGATTTTTTTCAGATGTGTCAACTCTGAAGGGGATAACACAGGGAAATTGCTTAAATAGAACTAAGGGAAATACAAGTATTAATGATGTTTTTCTGCTTTGATACTGTCTACCTAATTTATAAGAGTTTATATTTTAAAGTGATTGCAGGAATTTGGGGCTGGCTTCTTTCAACTTAGAAAGTCTGTGGTTTGAACAGAGTCCTATAAACCCAGAGAGAAACCCAAAACTAGATAAAAGGCTGAGAAGAAACATGGGTCAAGGAAGAAGAGCTTATTTTGAGGAAGATGAATACAAACCACTAGAATCTCAAAATATGAAAATTAGAAAAGGTGGTGATCATCAGTAGTAAAGGTTAACTCTCCACAGTTAAGCTTTATTATTATTTAAAAACACCACAAACAAAGATAAGCTGAGAATTTAAGTGAATTCCACAAACATTTATTGAATATACACTGTATGTTAACCACTAAATAAATTGTAGCAAAAGAATAAGGCAAGGGAGAAGCATACAAATCTATTGAAACATAATTATTAATTTACAAACAGAGTGATTCAAAATAATAGACATAGGTGGATGAGGGTTACATGCCTATAATCCCAGTGACAGGAAGCTGAGGCAGGAGGATCAAGAGTTCAAGGCCAGTTTGGGAAACTTAGTGAGATCCTATCTCAAAATTAAAAATAAAAAGTTCTGGTCATTTAGCTCAGTGGTAGAGCATCCCTGGGTTCAATTCCCAGTACCACAAAAAATACATACATAGGCATATGGCAAAACAATAGAAATAGAAACTTAGGAGTTCTCAAACAGAAAAAAGTGGCAAATTATGAATGCCAACCCAGCATTATCCCTAAGATTTGTTCAATAAAGGTCAAATAACAGGTTCTCTCATAATCTATTAGCCTTGAAAAAATGAATCTTGGTGTGTGATTAGTTAAAAAAATTATTCGTAATTGGTCTCTAAGTAAATGTATTCTATCATTGATAGTAGGAACCACAGATCTAAAGATTAAGACAGGTTTCAAGTCCCAGAATAAAATGGAAAAAAAGCAAAAGTTTTGGACACCCAAGCTAGAGAAGGCACTTAAGATGAAATAATTTGAGGATTATAGATGGTATTATGGCATTAGGTGTCACCAGTAAATTATTTCTCAATGTAATTCTGAAATATGTTGCACAGGTTCAGAACTCAGCTATGATACTTCTTGTGAACAAGTGATAACCTCTCTGTGCCTCAATTCCTGTATCTGTAAAAAAGGGGGGAGTGATGATGATAAAATTATGAGTTAAATTAACTAATACAAAGTGCCTTAAACAGTATCTTGCCCATATGAAGAAAGCAACTGTCAATTGTTGCTACATTCTCATAAGTTAACAAAATTAGAACTCAAGAATTCAATTACTCTGTGGGGAGGACACAAATAGTCAGGAGAACTACCCCTCCAAGTTGAGATATTCTTTCAGTACAAGAGCCCAGATAGGATGAGGCACTTATGTCCAGGCCAGCTGCTCACTCTTTATTGGCTGAATGGAGTTCCAAACCTACTACACCAAGAGACTACATATTTGGTTATGATCATTTCAACAATGTAGCTATTCTATTCATCACTTGCAATTTTGTTTTTACAGAAGACACAAAAAAATTTACTGGTTTGCCCACAGGTCACATCTTTCCACTCCATTCTAAACTCTAGAGGTGGAAGTGGTATTTCACTCTTCAATTCACTTTCCTGTTGAATTTAGTTTTATTACACTGGTCGGTCTTCAAGGATTTGACAAAATCTGGGAAAAACAGCATGAATTTCTCACATCAACAGAATTGACCAAGCAAAACCTAGGAAATAGCTACTTCATAGAACCAGTTGAAGTCCAATTATAGTGGCACCAATAGTTTTAGCTAAGTGCAGGCTAGGCTAGAGGGAATTTCTTCTACATAAATTTGCATAAATAGAGGATTAAAAAGTAGGGATTGAGAAAATAGTTTTTATGAAGAATTCAATATTAGGAGACATGAAGATTTAACTGATTATCCATTTTTAAACCATGAAAATATGTGATTTTAAGAAACCAGTGAACAACCAAGGGAAGTGGACTGGGAGCATACAGGGATAGGGCCCTATGACAATGTAATGGTCATCATGGATAGTTTAAAGATGAAGAGTTAGCGGCAAGGGAGTAAGATGAATAACTATGGTGATAGTTCATCAAAATGATCATTTGCTCAATAAGTCAACAGTATATACTGAACTCCTATGTTCAGGGCAAATGGGAAGTAGCACTCACTGACAGAATGCCAAATATAATTTATATTTCTACATGTTTCATTACCTTTTCTTCCCAACAGTCAAGTAAGGCAGTTACTGGACTACACTAACCCACTTCTGAATTAATGAATATGCCTTCAAACAAGTGGAATAAAAGGGTGGGGGGACTGGAGGAACCAGTTGAATGGGATTAAGACAAGTCTGTAACATTTACAATGCAGCATTTCCATAGACCTTTACTTTTGTAAACGTTTGCATTTATTATTCCCCAGATATACCTCCAAAGGCTATAAAGCAAGGCAGCTGATTTTTTTTATTCAACTGATGAGAAAACTGGGGCGCAGAAAAAAAGCCTATCGACTTGCCCAAGGTTACACAACATACATCAGTTGCAGGGGCAGGAACTAAGAACCCAGGCTTCCTGCTACCCCGCCCACTGAGTCTTTCCACTGAACCATACTGCCGGGAGCAATCTACTGGCTTGCAACTTGGGGACAAAGCCTCGCGGTTAGAGAGCACTCACACTTCACACCTGGGGCATGAACCTGTTGCCCGCGTGGCCTCAGTGGGAGGGCGGTGGGTGGCCCGTCGCGGGTAAAGCTTGGGAGGTAATGGAAGGCTCCATTCTGTGGGAATCAGGTGGTTACTTACTCATATTGCCCGTTCCTCTGGGCTAGGGTCAGGGCGCAGGGCTCCCGGAGAGGACCCTTCATCTCCAAACCCTCGATAGTATGCAGGCGCTAGTCAAGGGTCTTCTTTTCAGAAGGGCAGCTGTGCAGGGGAAACGTGTTGTGGGGCGGTGGGAGTCTCCCGCCCCCCTGACCGTCCTTCCCCATCCCCCGCAAACGTCGCCTCCGGTGCTGGCCCTCTCCCCTGCTAGGTTCAGCCTCAGGGCCTCGTAGCGCCCCCGCCCTGCGGTGTTCCGCAGTCCCCCAGACCCCCACCCCCGGCCCATTGCGGCCTCCCCTCCCCCTTTCTCTTAGGCGGATACAGCAAGGGGCTGGGCTCCGACTGGGAGCGGCGGCTCCATCCCGGAGGCCTGCAGAGTTAGTGGGGCTGCGGACTGCGGGTGGCTCCAACGACACTGCCTCCAGCGTCCTGACACCAACCCGCCTCTGCTGCGCGTTGTTTGAGAAACAGCTCCGCGTCGGAGCTGGGAGCCGGGAGGCGAGAGCTTGACCAGAGAGAGAGCGGCGCCTATCGCCCCAGCCAGTTTTCCAGGCCGCCGCAGATTCCGCCCCCTGCGGCCAACATGGGGAACTACAGCCAGTGACCCAAGGGATTGGGGGCTTCTTGACCACATCCAGCAAGGAATATATTTCAAATGCACCAGAGGACTTTGAAAATTCTATAGAAAGAGAACACGGCCATACCTATGAGGGAACTCAAACATGTTGGACCAATATAATCCGCATCATACAGCCAAAAACAAAAGAAAAAACACTCTTATTAAAAGTTATGATGTACTGTGTTGGTTTTCTCACTTATCAGGTGTTCTACCCTTCCTCTTCTTTTTTCCAACTCCTAAATTGAAATATTTCTCAAACCTCAGACCTTTGCTCCTTCTTTGCATTCCCTCTGGGTCATCTCTAAGCAAGCAAAGTTCCAGTATATATCCCTGACCTAGACCTCTTACCTAATATATCACTTTGTCAAAAGAACACTGTGTGACAAAACAAGTTCATCATTTCAGACAGCCACCCAGTCCTGAAACCTCAAAACCACATGCTTTCTTCCCTCTCCTAATCTCTGTATCCAAACCATAAAGAAGCCTTGTTAATATTTTCTTTGGAATGTCTTTTTGATCCTTTTTCTCTCCTTTCACACTGCTATCACTTAATTGTAAGCCCTTGATGTCCTATCTGGGTTGCTGCATTTTTCCTGAATAAATTCTATTGGCTTTAATCTCCCCTTTGACTTTTTTACTTTGTTGACAGCCACAAAAATATTCTTCCCAAAACAATGCTTCAATTGTTTTATACACTTGCTCCAGAATCTATACTTAACTAGATATCAAAACTGACTTTAAACCTATATAATTAAAAATGTAATATGGAAATAGACCAATAGAACTGAATCCAGAGCCTCAAGACAGATCTGCACATATATGGAAAATTGATATTCAAAATATGTAGCATTTCAGATCAGTGGGGAGAGGATGGATTATTCACTAAATGGTAGTGAGACTATTGATTTTTTGGGGGGAAGGCATACTGGAGATTGAACTCAGGGGCCCTCAACCACCGAGTCATATCCCCAGCCCTATTTTGTATTTTATTAGAGACAGGGTATCACTGAGTTGCTTAGTGCTTTGCTTTTTGCTGAAGCTAGCTTTGAACTCATGATCCGATCCTCCTGTCTCAGCCTCTTGAGTCACCGGGATTTCAGGGATGCACCACTGCACCCAGCAAGAGACTACAGATTTTTCATATGGAAAGTAATGAAATTAGATCCCTAACTCAAATCATAGAGGGAAAATTAATTCCAGGTAGTTTAAAAGATCTAAATGTTAAAAGCAAAACTTTACCACTTTCAGAAGAAAATGGTAGGGGGCTTGGTGACAGCATACACAAGGCCCTGTAATCCCACTGCCCAACAAAGAAAAAGAAAATAGAATATTTTTATGATCTTGAAATAGAGAGTGAGAATGATACCTTCAGTTATATTAAATTTCAAAATGGATGTGTTTCGTGACAATATAAACAAGAGACAAGCCACAGAGTGGGAGAAGATATTTTTCAACAAAGGGTAATCTATGAGGTCCTATATATCTGTCATCACCTTCTGACTTGCTCTCCCTCCACTCCTTCCAACTTGCTGTGCTTAATCATACTGGCTCCTTGCTTTTCCTAGGACTTGTCAGGCACACTCTTGCCTCAGGGCCTTTGAACTTTCTGTTTACTCTGGCTGCACTCTCATCTCCTTCAGCTCTTTGCTGACATGTCACTTTTGTCAGTGAGGTCTTCCTAGACCACTTTACTTAAAATAACAAATCAACAATCCCCTCTTTCTAGTTCCATAAACACATTCCCTATCCTTCTTCCCTGTTTATTTTTATTCAAAGGATTTATCACTATCCACTATTCTAATTCTTTTATCAGTCTTGTTGGTCATTTAACTTCCTCCACTAGGACATTAGTTCCATGAGGGTAAATAGTTTTGTCTGTTTTGTTATCAGTGCCTAGAACCATTCCTAGAGTAAAGTAGATGCTAGAAAAATATTGATAAAAAGAATGAATTAGTGGGCTGGGGATGTGGCTCAAGCGGTAGCGCGCTCGCCTGGCATGCGTGCTGCCCGGGTTCGATCCTCAGCACCACATACAAACAAAGATGTTGTGTCCGCAGAGAACTAGGAAAAAATAAATAAATGTTAAAATTCTCTCTCTCTCTCTGTCCCTCTCTCTCACTCTTTCTTTAAAAAAAAAAGAATGAATTAGTATTCAGGTTATATAAGAACTCTGATAAATAAGTTAGAAAAGGAAAGAAAACTAGTAGGAACATTGACTAAATATATGAATAAGCAATTCATAGTCAATGAAACCCAAATGGTTAATAAAGACATGATAGGATAATTAACTATATTACTATTCAGGGAAATTTAAAAATTAAATCATGAGATCATTCCACAACCATTGATTTGGCAAAAACGTTTAAAGTTAGATAACATCAAGTGTTTCTGAGGATGTTGAACAGATAGATCTCTAATATGATGCTAGAAGGAGTATAAGTTGGTAGAATTGCTGTGAACAGCAATATAAAAATGTCTAATAAAGTTGAGAATTTAATACCCTTCAACTCACAAATTCCATTTCTAGGTATAGACCCTGGGAAAACTCTAATCTCTGTGCACAAAATGACAAAATAATGTTCATTGCTATATTATTTGTAATCTCAAAAAAGGAAGCAAATTAAATACTTATTGGCATATGAATGGATAAATAAACCATGGTATTGATGAAGTTAAATATTATTTTGAAATTAAAATGAATGAGTTTGAGGTAATGTAGTAACAGTTAAATCTCAAAAATATAACAATGAGCAGAAAGCAAATTGCAAAACATATACTATATAATATTTATAAGTTTGAAAATATCATCGGTTGCCAGTGGCTACATAGATATATAATGACCAAATTTAAAACATGAAGGGCACAACGACCAAATTTAAGGAAGGGTTAGAAGACTGAGATTGAAGATTATACAGGGAATATGAACTACATCTGTAATATTTATTTCTTGCAACAATCTGAAAGTTGATGTTGCAAGATTTGCTAAAACTTGGTGGTAGGTATGTTTATCGGTTATGTTATTCTGTGTGCTTTCCTGAATTAGAATTGTTTGTAATTGATGAAATAAAAAAAATAAAGAATATATCTATGGGAGAGGGTTAGTAGTGTCAAATGCTGACAATAGGCCAAGGAAAATGGGGCTCAAGAAACTTTTTTGGATGAGTCAGGGAGTTTACTGGAGACTGTTCAATGTGTATTATCAATATGCCATGAGGGGCTTGGGGTTGTGGCTCAGTGATAGAGCACTTGTCTAGCACGTGTGAAGCACTGGGTTCGATCCTCAGCACCACAGATAAATAAATAAATAAAATAAAGGTATAGTGTTCATCTACAACTAATTTTTTTTTTTTTAAATAATAAGCCACAGGCTGGGGTTGTGGCTCAGTGGTAGAGTGCTCACCTAGCACATGTGAGGCACTGGGTTTGATCCTCAGCACCACATAAAAATGAAATAAAGATATTTCAGTTTAATAAAGATATTTTAGTTGTAGGTGTATACCTACAACTAAAAATTTTAAAAAATAATAATAATAAGCCATGAGGATAGAAGCAAGAATAAAGGGAAGTGGGTGGGGAGGGGCTGTGTCATGAGAAAATGGAAATAGGAGACCACATATTGAAGAAGTTTAGAAATTAAAAAAGAAGCAAAATATACTTTTTTGTTTTTTAATGTATTCTAATTTGTTTTATATGGCCACAGAATGCAATTCAACTCATATTACACAAATAGAGCACAATTTTCCATGTCTCTGATTGAATACAAAGTAGAGTCATACCATTCATGTTTTCATATACGTAGTTAGGGTAATGATGTCTCACTCCACTGCCTTTCCTACCCCCATTCCTGCTCCCTTCCCTTCTGCCCTATCTAAAGTTCGTCTATTCCTCCCACGGCCCCCATCCCCATTATGAATCAGCCACCTTACACCACAGAAAACACTCAGTATTTGTTTTTTTGGGATTGGCTTACTTAGCATTATATTCTCTAACTCCATCCATTTACTTGCAAATGCCATGATTTTATTCTTTTTTAATGCTGAGTAATATTCCATTGTGTATATATACCACATTTTCTTTATCTATTCATCTACTGAAACATATCTGGGTTGGCTCTAGAGTTTAGCTATTGTGAATTGTGCTGCTATAAACATCGATGTGGCTGTGTCCCTGTAGTCTGCTGTTTTTAAGTTCTCTGGTATAAACTGAGAAGTGGAATAGCTGGATCAAATGGTGATTCCATTCCCAGTTTTCCAAGGAATCTCTATTCTGATTTCCATATGGGCTGCAACAATTTGCAGTCCCACCAGCAATGTATGAGTGTGCCTTTTTCCACACAGCCTCCCCAACACTTATTGATGTTTGTTTTCATAATAGCTGCCATTCTGACTAGAGTGAGATGAAATCTTGGAGTAATTTTGATTTGCATATCTCTAATTGCTAGAGATGTTGAACATTTTTCATATATTTCTTGATTAATTGCATATCATCATCTGAAAAGTGTGTTCAGTTCCTAGGCCCATTTATTGATTGAGTTATTTGTTTGCAAAATACAGTTTTAAGTAAATTAGTGAGAAGGGTCAAACAAAGGTTCTTGACAAAGCCTGAAGCCACTTTAAAGCAAATGCAAAAGAGCCAGCAAAGAGAGGGTCTTTTAAGATGCTAGAAGTGAGAGGTTTCAAGCAAAATCCCATTCCCAGTAATTGAGAAAAGCAAGGATGCAAACTGAGGATGGAGGAATTGGCTTAGAGAAAAGGCAAGATATGTCTTCCTCCAAGTGTCAGAACTTAAAATAATTCCTGGCATACAGTGGATACTCAATAAATATTTCTTGAATGAAGAGTAAGAGATTATGTAGAAACTGAAATATATTGAGGT